AAAAAAAAAAAAAGACAGAAGCATCTCCTTCCTCCTTTTCTAATTTGTCGTCTTGCTGTCGTCTCTGAATGAACGAACATAACGACTTTTCAAAACAGCAAACTGAAAGGTTGTTTGCGAGGTGATATGGGCATACGGTAAGGCAACTGAAATTGCTGTTGTTTGGGTAACACCAAAAAAAACTGATACATCTCCAACAATAAGAGTAAATTTGTTTTTTCATTGTTTTGCTGACATAAAGTATTTATTTGTCAAAAAAAAAAAAAGCGGTGAAAAAATCCCAAAATTTTGAAAACATCAACAAGAGTACTTTCTATAAAAAAAACGTCTTTATTTTCGACTAATAGAAATTTTCAATTAAAAAAAAGATTATTTTTGTATTACAAGTCTTCCTGTTTGTTTTCCTCTTCTTTTCCCAAATCACTCTTCCTTGAAAATTTTACAAAAAAAAATTGCAAATATTTGATTGCGTATATTCCTATTCTTATATTGAACCAGTTTAATTTTATTTTACTAATTATTTTGCCTCCTTTTCCCTTCCCCCACCCCTCCACCTCAGTAAAGAAAAAAAAAAAACGCAAACGTATTTTTCCTGTGATGGATTGCTTTTAGTTTAGCAACCCGTCAATTTTTTCTATATTGCTCGCTTAGTTGTTAAAACTGCCAGAAAATTTTGTCTTTTTATTTGTACTTTTGCTACACAGCTGTATAAGGCTGGTTGCTGTTTATTTTTTTGCTGAAGGTCTACATTTTTAGTGAAAGTTTGAAAAAATTAATGATTAATAAGCAATGACCACTGCTTAAGGTTATCAGACAACAATCACTGCGCTAAACTTAGTCTTAAACCTGTTTGAGATCGAACTATTTGAACAAATTATTGCCTTTCAGCAATAAAACACTTCCTGCTAACAAATGTAATTGCTAACACCCTTAAAAATGTAATCTTTCTCAATTTTTAAAGATAATATTGTAAGCAAAAATGCCATTTTTATGCAAAAATTGAATGATATTCAGTTTTAGAAAAAAAAAAAAGGTGGAAAAGTATTTCCCGAATGGTAGTGTCTCACGTTTTTGAAGCATATGGTCGCCATCGTCTGTGCAAATAATAAAAAGTAATAAAAAAAAATGTTTTTTGAAACAATACGCAGCAATTAGTGCTATGATTATTATTTTTTACTCTAAAGTTCAAAGTTTTTTTTTTTTTTTTTTTTTATTAATAGCGTCACGTGGTGAAAAAAAAATATATGGTTCGTCATAATCAACAAAATCATAGGTCTTTTGCCACCATTAAAGGGCGTTTACCATTCGACAACACAAATATCTAAACTTTTATTAGTGTTTAGACGTGAAGCAGGAAATATTTACGTTAGCATTCTGTTGGCAGTAACAAAATTACTGCTACAAATAGTGACCGATGACATTCATTTGATTATAGACATTTACAAAGCCTTCTCTCCTTCCCCTTCTTCTCCTACCACTTTGGCTATGTGCGAGTCGAAATTGTTTTGCTTTTCCTGTACTGCAAAAAGAAAAAAGTAAGCAAAAGGTCAGGCTCAGCGAAGAAGTTGTAGATTATTTGTTGATCAAATAGGCGGATAAAATAATTCTTTTTTTTATTATCATCTTTGTAGTATAAACTAGGCAACAGTTCATCTGCACCCCATTATTTTCAACTAAAACAGTTGTGGTCTGTGGGTGTATTTGAGCACCCATACTTGTAGAGCAGCTAACAAACAGAAGCAAACTCTCTTGTGATTAACAGCCAAACAGCAGGACAGGGGTTTTGATAGCAACAAAA